GAATACTTGTACATACATACATACACAACAGCTAGAGAGTTGGGCATGGCATTCCGGCGGACTTTCAAACCGGGTTTTGATTTTGAATGTACACGTTCCACCACTGAAAGATGGGGATGCACTTTGTACAAAACTGGTATCTGAAACCGCCAGCAATTGTGGCTTATCAGCTTGGCTTCACCTCGGTTTTCAGAAAGAATGGGTAACAAGGAAGCAAGCTATAGCATGTGATGGCAGACCTGACTTAAAGCAGGCGGATGAATCTGCTATACTTTCTGTAAAACGCCTTGTACGCTGTTGGCTAGTACGTTCTATTGTACCAATGCAAGTCTTAGAGGCTGGTGCTAAAAACTGACTACGAGCAAAAAACAATCATAATGTGCGCGAGCGCACGTACGCACGTACGCACACACACGCACGAGTGCTAGGGTTGGGCAGGGACTGGGCAACATACCATTGGCTGGATCTCCTGCTTGAACAGACAGCGTGACACTTGCAGCAGACAGCGAGACACATCCTTGATGCTGACAGCATCTGTGTGTGCAGAACATAGGACCAGACCAGCACATAAAGAATTCCTAAAACCATCCAAACTGAAATCAAAACTCGAGAAAGTAGACAATAAACAGGAGCTGGTGGGTAACTCAATCTCGAAGAAGCAGAGAACCTTTGCCACAAGCTCACACATTTCAGTATCCTAAACACTCCTTAGCCTGCTGTCATATGCCCAGTACAAAGTACATGTAACAAAATGCTGGGTTGTTGTTTAGCCGTTGCACGCCGAGACGGTGACACAGAATTTTGTGCATATCTCCCACAGCCACTGACCTTTAGCGAGCAGCCAGAACAGCTGTGTGAAGTCCAGATCCTGTCTCAGCGGTAGCATGTGACTGCTGATTGCGTCCAGGTCCGCTTGCCGGCCTTCGTCCGGACGCCATTGCTGCAGGCACAGTGTGCGGTAGGAGACAGAGAAACGACACAGGCATAGCTGAGAAGAAGCAGACATGTGGCACGAGAGTTCCAGAGTAAGTAGTAGTAATCTGCACCAGGCTATACAAGCGTACGCAGCATTCTAGTTTATCCATACAACGTAACAGGTTTTTAAACAACTACACCGGATGCCTTGATACTCGCGGATGGTGACATTACTACAATGAAGCGCCAGCCTGACTGACACAAATGCTTTACCACATAGCACGACATGCACCCACACCCACACTCTCTCTCTCTCTCTCTCACACACACACACACACATATACATACACACACACACACACACTCTCTCTCACATACACACACACACTCTCTCTCTCTCTCTCACACACACACACACACTGCAGAAACTCACCATCAGGTCCTCGGCTGTGCAGGTTTGCACCTCTGAGAGAGGGCAGAGACAAGAAGCAATATATGTACATGCACATGTGCCTCAAGTCTTCTCACAATGTAGCCAATCTTTCTCTCTTATTCAGTTCAGACAGGCATTACAGATGAATGTTTCAGGGCTGCTAACCATACCCCACCCACAAACACACACTGTACTGTACTGTACTTGCTCATGCCAAAATTGGTCACGTGGGTCTCCCCGGGAGAGGAGAAAGAGACTCAAAAGGAATCTTGGAAAGATGACTCAATTGACTCTCTCTCTCTCTCTCTCTCTCTCTCTCTCTCTCTCTCTCTCTCTCTCTCTCTCTCTCTCTCTCTCTCTCTCTCCCTCTCTCTCCCTCTCTCTCTCACACACACACATACACCCACCCACACCCACATGCACCCATAGACACATGCACAGACTTACTTTGCAGAAACGCTGTCGTGCGGTCCACGGCTGTCTCAGCGGCCGAGTCACCTTGCCGCCACTCGACCCTGGCAGAGCTGTCCTCCAAGCCAAACAACTGCACCCATGCCTGCGAAGGACACACACATGCACAGATAACTTAGAAAGGCGAGTGCATTACTAGAGACAGTATCTAGTGGCTTCACATCTTGGTCATGCGATTGCATTTGCGCAGACAGTGTACATAATGGTATGCGGACAGAGGAACCAACATGGCTGACACCATGTGACCCACTGATGCAGGGATCGACTGGAGTTGGCACAACTATGCACGACCCGTACGGCCATGGCACGTGGTAAAGGCGTGACAGCTCTATACATACTGCAGGGGGGGGGGGGGGGCATGGCCATGGCCATAATACTACAGTTAGAAGGGAGTCCATTCAAATAGCACATCGATTTGTGTACTTCAAGTACATGATTGTAAACTCTTCAATTAATTATTTATTCAATCTCAGCTAGCTGCTTCAACTTAGTTAGGTCTTCTCAGCGGAGCAGAAGAGTTCTTGACACGGACGCAAGGCCGCCTAAACACTTCCCGTGTGGGGTAGCTGACACTGCACACAGGTAGCGGAACAAGCATTTAAAGCAAGACCATCACAGCATGCATGGCTGCTGCCCGCACCAACCTCAAGCTGATTGAGCTCCCGTAGAAGGCGGGCGGCCGGTGATCTCAAATCCTTGCTCACGGCACGAACAAGCTGCAGAAGTACACACAGCACACACACAGTCAGAGGAGGAAAGGAAAGAAAACTCTATAAAATTGGTAACGGTACCATTCGGCTGTTCAACAATGCAACAAACTCTCCTCCATGCGCTCTCAGCTGACACATTGCTACCCTTGGTAGCCATTACACAGACAGAAAATTCCAAACAAAGAAGGGGTTACGGGTAGAAAAGAAAAACACACAATATTGCATCACGAGACCAATGGAAAATCGCCACGCTTCACACAGGGTGTGCCGGACCCTGAAGCCTTACCACACAACATGACGCTGCCGATGTTGGATAGCACAGGACGGTGGAGGAGCGTTCCCAGCTGTAGCGTACCACAAGCAGACTGCCGCCGAGATCCGCCTCGTCCAGCATCGATGTGTCCATGGACATCTAAACAGTGGGCAAGTGGACACACGGGTAGGAAATTGGACAGTTACATAGGGCAGTCCAATGCCATGCACTTCACAGTTCACAGTTCACAGTTCACAGACACACACACACACACACACAAACCAATGAGCATTGATTCTGGGAAAAAGGCAAGAAGCCTATGCCATGCATAGAACCACACCATCATACCACACACATATCTCTCTTACACGAGCGGTGCGGGACCGGGCGCTTCCCATGACTTGGAAATGACTGTAACTCTGAATTTATTTTTCATTGCTATCAGGTTCGGCCTCATTTTCTCTGTGCTGCGCTGATGAGTCCACCAAGGACGAAACAGTTCTGTCCGAAGAGATTGAGTAACTCTGAATCACATACGTTCCAATGGGGAAGGGCAAGAGATGTGGGATGTGACGTCACTATTTCCAGAAAAAGGGCAACCAAATTCACGGTTCGCATCAGACTCGGCTAGAGGCCAAGTTTTCCGCATCCGTAGGAACGCCACCACCCTTCAAGGAAAAAGGGTAAGGAGTAGTAATATTTCCACTAGAACTAACGCACCGGGTGCCGGGTACTAGTAGACAGAGGTGCTCGTAACTTCTTGGAGGTCCGGGTAAGAGAGATATGAGTGTATTGACTAGCTAGCACTGTCAGTAATCTGCAGACCCTACCTCCGATGTGGAGTTAGATAGACTGCCGATGATCTCGTACTCGGCTGTGAACAGGCCACATCGCTCCTGATGAGACAGCAGCAAACCAAACAGACATACACTCAAATAGATAACAGCACAATACAATTGGACCGCTGGTAAATCACCATCAGCTATGCAGCATAGTGCAACAATCACGGCTCGCGTAGAGACTCGATTAGACCGAGTTTTCTGCATCCTTAGGAACGCCACAACTCTTAAGGATCAAGGTGCAGATGCAGCTCCTAAAGCGGTGGGAGACGAGTAGATCAGACCCAGCACCAAAGAGGCCAAAGACCGAAAATCCCATCCGCTGCGTCCATGACTGCATAGTGCAAGATTGCCATGCACAGTGACTGGTAAGGGGAAAACAGGTTTCACTGATTTCCCTCAGCACTACAATCCCCACCACTGCACTACTGTACCTGCATATCAAGGCCACCATCAACGTCTAGCGGGACACAACCGTGCGAAAGCAACTTGTGCAGCGAGGGCAAAGCGTAGAACGACGTCGGACTGTCGAGCAACGATGACGGGCGCAGAATTGTGCCTATAGGCAATAGAGAGAACATACAGGACACGCACTCAGACTCAGACATGCCCATCGCGGAAGCGATGATAGCAAACAGCTATAGACTATGAAATTGTGCTGGGATTACACTATTCAACAACGTTGCTTGCAAGGCTGATGAATAGACCGCCATAAATTTCAGTCTGGTCTACACCACACAGCTGATTGAAGTGGCATTTTCTGGCCAGTGAAAAATGAAAAATAGAATACACGCGCGCACACACACGCACACACACACGCGCGCACACACACACACACCTGTCCTGTTGAGCCACTGCCATGAAGGTTACGTGGGCCCCGGAGGAGCAGCTGAGAGAGAGGAGCACACAGCCCTGTGACGATCCAGGTGATGCGGTAAGCGAAATCGGCGGGAGCAGGCGCAAACACATGTGAAACCCTGACGGTCCTGAACGGTCGGACGATTACAAGTTCGTGAGCAGCGATGACGGGTGCGGCCACGTGTAGACGCAAAGCAGCGGTCACAAGCCTGGCAGTGAGCGACGCAGCACAGCGGAGAAGCAGGCAGCGGCAGGGGCGCACCGACTGCTGACTGGGGGTAAGTACACTTGTGCCTTGCCAGACCTCCACGGGACTTCAGCCAACGGCCACATTCTCCACACTGGCATGCACCTTTCTGCTCCGCAACCGGCTTCGCAAGCTCAACCTTACACTTGTGGCGTGCGCGATCACTGAGGCGTGCAAACTGTCGGTCGCAGGTGTAGCAGGTGACGGGAGGGGGGCGATGCTGGGCATCTACCGGTGCTGAGTACGCCGAGCGCCAGGTGGAACGCGACTCGCATTCAGCTCGCCATTCCCCCTCGAGGCCGCGAGAACGAAGGTCAGACATAATACAATCCTTCCAGCGCCGACGAGGGCCATGAGCTGGGCGACGTGACGGAAGCGAGCCAAAGAGAACTTGCTTCGGCAGCCGGTGGTCCTCCATCCGAGCAACATGCCCGAGCCATTCAAGGCGGCGGTGCTCCACCTTCGTGCGGATGGTGTCGGGATCACCCCACCTCACGCGTAGTTGGTGATTGGTGATGTGGTCATCCCAGCATTCTTGGCGAGACACTCCCATGATCGAGGGGACGCATCGGTGGTGGAAGACAGAGAGCCGCACACACACACACACACACACACACACACACACACACACACACCTGTCCTGTCACACACACACACACACACACACACACGCGCAAGCACGCACACAATCAACTCGTGTCAGACTAGATGAATCAATTCCTGGTTTTAACTTAAGTTCACAAACACCGGTGGCAGCGGAGAAGTTGCGTTTACGATACATGCGTCAATAGCAACCTGTTTGAAAAGTTCTTCTCCTGTGCAAGCTCACCTACCGAGAAAGCGACAAGACAGTAGCTGGGGCACGACAGATGGAGGTGGTGAGGAGTCACTTTGCTCTGTATCGCCAGCCTTCAGCTTACACTGGCCTGCAACAACAACATAAACAACATCAAAGTCAACGACGGCAGCAGCAACAGAATTGACAAGATGCACCCCAAGAGTCTACACTAAACGGGACGGGACAGTGGAACCTTACAACCCCCCTCCGGAACATGCATATACCTGTCCTGTATTGGAAACTGTCCTGATCGTCTAGTGCATGGTGTCATCAACTAGGCCGCACACACAACTACAGTCCTGCTCAATGAAATCCAGCCGCGTCACTCAAGTTTGCGCCTTGCACCATTTCGCAGCCCAGTGTTCGCAAGTCTAGGGCTGCGCAACGCCCGGCGAGTAGTGAGTACTTGAGTGACGCGGTGACTGGATTTCATTGAGCAGTGCCGTACATTGCATGCGGCCAACCCCACGTCCCGTGTGCATGGACAGAACTGGTCACATCGTGAAAGTGTGACACAACTCTGAAAAGGAGTTCATGCCACGACAGCAACGCATCTGGAGTTGCGCCGTCTCGTCCAGGGAGTTACACAGAATAACCTCGGCAGCAGGGCAAAGTACTCGTGGAAGTTTTTGCCCTCTTGGCAGACACGTGAGAAATTGAAGAGAAAGCAACCAGAGCCCGTGCCTAGCACTGCGGGGCACCGCTACCATTCAAACACGCCTGCACTTACCAGCTAGCCACAGAAGCTGTGTGGGCTTGGATGGGCTACACAACACCCACAGCGGCGGGAGAGCTTCATTGCCAGGCCGCAGAGTGCTGGAATATTCTGACATCAAATACCTGAGCATACGAACACGGCCAAGATGCTGGTCAGAAATATCTTAGAGATGCTGGGCAAACGAAAAAAAGTTCAAAAAAACCAGTTCAAAGAAGAGATAGCGATTGGAGTGCCGGTATTCAAACGGGGTTTTCATTCACGACACGCATAACGCCAGTGCCAAAATAAAACACCAGTTCAACATGCAAAGCTGACACTGCCGCTTGTGTCGCACATGCTGCACAAACCATCTGTACCCTACCGTGCGTCGTCAGCTGTCAACGGTGACAGTGCCGCACTGCTCAATGGCGTTGATACATGCACACGCTGATCTGACTGCTTCGCAGCATGCTGGAAAACGACAGCGGATGCGAGAGACAAACAGAAAGATGTAAAGGGTTGCCCCGGGTACAAGTCGCACATTACATTATTTCATAAAGAGGAAAAAGTAGAGTTTCTTGGTGACCAGATACCTGGCTTCGTCATCACCAGAAAGAGGATCAACAGAAATCAGGTAAACGGTTCATCCTAGCTGACAACCACTTACCCACAGCTCTGGCATACACTGCAACCGATCGCCGTCCTTTGCAGCAGCAGCAGCAGCACTACCACCACCACCACACTGGACAATGGTCACAGGAGATTGCAAGCCAGCAACTTGATGACGCTCCGGCCTGTCCGTGTCCTCGCCGTCCTGATCAAACAACAGCAGAAGCAGACGCAGGCATACAATTATGTACAGCGTGAGCAAAACTTACAGCCTACACCACCAGTCATCGCATCAATTTCATAAACTGGAGCCACAGCAGCCGGTTCAACTAAGGATAATTTCCCCAAAAGAGCAGTGAAAACAGTCGACACAGTTGAACCTCTCTTATCCGAGCGCATCCGGGCCGATTCCCCGAAGCTGGGTGCCCGCATATCAGAATCGTACGCAAATAAAAAAAACACGACCCTCGTGGTACTTCTTTCTTTTCAGTTGGGCTCGCTAAATCAAGATGCAGGGCGGCCGGGAGCAATTTTTAATTGGTCCGGTCATACCGTGGTCTTTCTTGAATTCATTATTCCGAGGCACATTCAACAGTAGCTGATGAATATGAGCTTCCATGAGGTGAATAAATCTGCTAACCTCCACAAAAGGGAAGATATCATATACAATGCACCACAAAACACACACACACACATACGCACACGTACACACGTACACACGCACACTCACACACGTACACACGCACACTCACACACACACACATACCGTTGGCACGTAGGAAGAGGCCAGTACGTAGCCACGAGTTGTAGGCGCAGCAATAGCCGACAACGGAGGGGCCACGTTCGGTGGAACAAACTGTAAGAGAAATTCCTCCTGAATGAGAAAAGGGGCACAAAAGACAAGAAATCGTGAATAGAAGGCAGAGATCATGACTGCCATCATCTTTGTAAAAACAAAACAAGGAAAACAACCACCACCACCACCATCACCACCACCACCACCACCACCACCACCACCACACCACCACAACAACAACAACAACCGGACCGGTATCGTGCGCACATGTGTGAAATCAACTCATTAAAAATAGCTCTTTGTGCAAATTATAATCAAGCACGCCATACCTGGTAGGTGCAGTGTTTGGTGATGGTACATGATGACCTGAAAGAGAAACGCCAAACAAAGTAAAATAAAGTCCACCGTTAGCCTCAATGTAGCACACACATACACAATACTAAGGGGCCATGCGGCATTATCGATAATTTTCATGGAATGAAACAGTTTAGCTACAATCCCCCTCCCTCAGACATGCTCGCCGGGAAGAGGAGAAGTCTGAGGAACCGCCGAAAAAGAAATCGTCAAAACTCCCGTACGCCTAAGAAGGACACCTCAACTAAGCCGAGTGCTGAAGCGCCGGCGGTCGTCCCCACCACACTGGACAAATAATCGCTGGACCAAACCGGTTTACGCTCTGAAGGCGGTTATGGTGAGGAGTAGAGGCTGGTACCAAAACCGCAGGGTAGTCTCATATCTTGAGGTTTTTCTTTGGTCGAGAACCTGGCGTCCTGTATAAGCCTACGACACGTAGCACGAGGCAACTGGGCATATATCCAGAACCAACGAGTAGTGTTACTCACAAGAGGGCACGCTGGTTCGGGATATAAACATTCGGCAGTTGAAACTGACATACAGGGGTAGGATCCTAGAGTGACGCTTGTTCAGCGGCATGAACGGTTATAGGCGTAAAACACATTTTACACGGTGTCATCACCGGTAGTATACCAGGAGCTGCAGTATGAACCTCATGGTCATGCAGTTACAGGAGTAAAGTGGTCGCTTGCAACACTTTCTCTCTCGCAGACACAGAGTGTGCAGTATGCTGTCTCTTAGTAATTACAGGGCTATAAGTATATAATATTACCTGAAGCCGAAGTGAATATGGGCGAATATTCACTAGTATACAAACCGAGGCGAAGCTGAGGTTTGTATAACTAGTGAATATTCGCCCATATTCACGAGGCTGAAGGTAATATTAGACTTATACCTCTCCATATTCACCCTATCGTCCCTAAAGCCCAACAAACGAGTCACGTTGGTCATACATGTACGTGTACGCAGAGTCGTTGTTGCTTCAGTATCGTAAACCGACTGGCGTGTTCTTGCATGAATCGGAGAGCGGCGTGTTCAGAATCTTGTTCAATCGATCGTGTACATGTACTGGTGCATGTGGCATGGGAGGTGATGACCTTGGAGAACATGCTCGCGCCAATCACCAAGGAGAACACACTCGTGCTTGACGGGAGCCAATCATCGTCCGTTTCGATGCGAAGACTTGACCAATCCGCGATCATCGCGCCAATTCGGGAGTCGGTTTATAAGCAGCGAGCCAAGCGATTCTACCCTCGCTTCTTTTCTTTTCAAGCAGCGCTTCGGAGCTGTTTTGTGCCCTAGGAAAATTCAACGCTAACATCCGTGAACAGGGCTGTTCTGAGTACAAACGAAATTCCTGGCTTGCAGCTTGATCCGCAAATATCGGGCCATTGACATGTTGAGCGTCCAAAACCTTGTTTGCTCGCTGGAACGCTCCGTCTGTGAAGATGCTCACTGTTGGTTGATGACTTGTCAGCACCTGGTCACATGCGGATCCAGCGGCAATGGCAAGCAAGGAATTACGTTTGTACTCAGAAAAGTCTTGTTTACGGAAGTTAGCGTAGAAATTTTCTAGGGCACTCGACAGCTCCGGTGCGCTGACTGAAGAGGAATCAAGCGCAGCACCGAGTACTGCTCTCTTTACAGTAAGTATCGAAAAGTGGTGAATATAAGCGGTGAATATTCAGCAATATTCACCACTTATGTAGATGGCCAATTGTATGTGGGTGAATATGGAATGAGGTATACAGTCGTCCCTCTCTAATCCTGCACCCTCGATAAACCAGCACGATTTTCAGTAGCCAAAATGTCCTCTTCATGCACATTGCAGCAGTCAGTCAGATTTGTTAATCCAGCACCCTCCCTAATCCAGCAGATTTCCCTTGTCACAAATGGTGCCGGATTATAGAGGGACCACTGTAATACAGTATATTCATGAGAGGATACACGGGCTGCCGGGAACACCAGCATGCAATATGTGTGAGAAATGTGGAACACAGTACCGAACTAGGACAATGTGTCAGGAGGTACGGAAGGGACCAGGTCACAAGTCTCTAGAGATAGGCGCAGGGTTCACTCAGCGGAAATGCCGAGTGTCCCAGATATCCAAAGCTGGAAGGAATTGAAATAATCAGTGTTCCTGGTATGGACCCGGGTTAAGACATCAGTGGCTGGGACCTCCCGATGAATACTCGGAACTGGGAAACACAGGACTAAGGAACGTGTCAGGAGGTACGGAAGGGACCACATGGCAGCCTTAGACTTAAGTTAGAGTCAGGTCACTCTGGTCGGGCCTGGGAGGCGTCGTGTACGAGTGCACCAGACTAGGAGAGAAAACACTCTGGTCGAGGCTGGGAGGCGTCTTGTACGGGTGTCTAAACACGTTGGAGAGAGGCCACTCCGGCCGTGCCTGGGAGGCGTTGTGTACGAGTGCAAGGCCGTCACAGCCGGGGCGGCCGGGGCCGCCCCACTTTTTCGGCCGTTTTTTTTTTTTTTTTTGAGCACATTACAACAAAGCACAATGATCACATGCAGCTTAGCGCAAACGTGACAAATCCTTGTCCCCGATCTTGGTTTGTTGCAGAAAAAAGGCTTTCATTGCAGTTACACTGAAATAGCACCAAATGCCTGGAAATGCTTGCAATTGGCTTCAATTCTTGAATTTTTTCCCGGGGGAGGGTAAAGTTTGTCCCCGATCGTAGCGTCTTCTTCGTTTGTTGCAGAATCAAAAAGACTTTCATTGTAGTTACCGTACACTGAAATGGCACCAAATACCCGGAAATGCTTGCAATTGGCTTCAATTTTTTCCCGGGGGACGACCCCCGGACCCCCCTTCCATGGCCACCCCACCTCCAAAGTCGGTGCGACGGGCCTGGAGTGTACTAGACATCCAAGGGGGGAGGGAATTGCACGGGTTCAGGCGCGCCATGGTGCGTTTGAAAACGAATCGACGTAACTTGTTCTGAATGCCAATGACGTGACGGTACTTGTCTTTCACCATACAACTCTATCAGCATCTTGAACCATGCTTACCAAACTCGGGTAACTAACTACATGTACGTCTCGAGCAATAGCAACTTGGGGCACATCACACTACGTTCACAGGATGCGAAAGGTTGTTTCCTCCTTGTTTGTTATGTACAGCAGCCCCTTCAGAAGCCACATGTTGGTGAGAGACATTGGGAAGCACATTATATAATTGTATTGTACATGTTTGTACTCACGTGTCTATGTCAGCGGCCAAGCATCGCATGCTGTCTATCAACGATGGCTGCGATTGACACCTCAGCGACGACATACTTGGAAGGTCGATTTGAAAACGAGAAACCCGGAGATACTAGCTTCGCTGGCATCAACACAACCCAGATTGCTGGCAAAAGCCAAAACAACGGATTATTGAACTGTAACTAATTACTTGACTTGACCAGTTCAAGAGCCCAGTGCCAGCATGATAGAGATCCAGCTACAGCTGCAGCGTGTAACAAACAGGGTATTTTACGACTCGACTCCAGTGTTGAGTGTATTGTTAATCATGTTGTTGTGTGTTGACAAGTCGAAATGTCGCGCTTTTTTTACAATCATTCTTTTCTAATAATTTTCGATCGTGCAAAATCATGCAAAATAGCCGTCGCCTTGGAAATGTGATGACGCTTACGCAACGCTGCAGCTGGTACGCCGTGTTAAAAAAAAGTGACCTTGTGTGTATTTTCGTTTATTTTAGTACGGTAATTGTTTTGAAAACTTGTCTTCCTTTCAGATCTGCGATCTGACCGACTTGAGAATCCAAGGATTGAGTTCGTCGTGTTTACTACTTGTGTGTGTGTAAGTTGTAGTGACAAGCCATGGCAAGTCCAGCTGGAAGAGGTGGTAAAGGCCGAGGAAGAGGTGTCGTTCAGCTTCGTCAGCCCAATGATGCTCCTTGTGAAGGTGAATTGAGAAAACCGAGCAGAGATCGACCTCCAGAAGAGAAGCCTTTGCCACCCAGCTTGAAAAGTCTAGTGCAGTCCGCCGTTGGAGAGGTTCTTCTGAATGAGAAGAAGGCTGAACAGGTAGCATCAAAGTTTAATGAGACCGTCACTAGTATGGAGGATGTGCAGCATTTGGCTGACCGGATTCTTGAGCTGTGCGACTCCGAGAGAGCACGAGCTCTCGCCATACTCTGTTCTGGATTTGCGCAGAACTGGCAAAGCCAAGCGCTAGTAGCAGCTAATCCCAAAATGGCGCAATTCAGAAGCCAGCTCCTGAAAGCATTCGGAATCCGGTACGAGCAGAGAACGCAAATGAAAACAGAGTCTCTGGCGGGGTTTCTGGGCTTTATCTCTTTCCTCGGGTATCTGTACTGCAAGCTTCGCATCAGTGATGCACCTCCGAGCTTTCTTGCTGAACCCGTGGCTCAGTGCCTCCGGGAATCTCTGTCGACGAAAACTGAAGTGGAGTGTTTCCTAGAGCTCGTCGAGGAGGTTGGCCCAATCATGTCTAAGCATTCAAAGTCCGTGATGGATAAATTGTGCTCGTTTTGCCGCGAGCAACTACTTCGGGATCCTTGTCCGCCGTTCAAGCGGTTTGCTCTGCTTTTAGTTATTGAACAGCATGCATCTCAATGGAAAATGGATGACGAGGTCAGGAGCCAGCTGGATTCATTGATGAGTTCTGTATTCGCATGACAGGATCTAGGAGCAGACAAGTAGCTGCTAGACAGCGATAGAGCAAGAGAGCAGGAGGAGTGAGAGTATGTGTGTGTGTGTGTGTGTGTGTGTTTGTACGTGTGTGCCCGTGCATTAGGTTCTTTTGGACTAATCACCTTCATAGTATCCACTGCTGTGCAGTTGGCTCTTGTATTCATGTTCGCTGAGCTAAAAGTATCAAGCTTGATCCGCTGCTTGAAGCTAAGCTACACAGGTTTCTAATTTCTTGGTGATGACTCCTCGTCCACAACTGCTGGTTGGATGGTTTTCTGCATTTGTTTTGGCTTTTCATGGCTTGCTAATCTGTAGTAATTCCAACTTTACATACCCGCTTGACTTATCTTCTTTTTTCATGGACACAAACGCTGAAAAATATTGAAACTGTCCTAGTATTTAGTACATGCCTACATGGTCATTGACCGTGTCACCCATTTCTGTAGGCAATTCTGCTTGTCTTGATTATAAAAGGTGGAAAATGCTCACGAATTCCCCTTACCACTTCGGTGATACCGTGATTTGGCTCTTGGCTACGGTACAACGGGGTGTCCCATGATGTGTGATGATCAGTATAAAATGTAAACTTTGCCACGTGAGAGAAGTGTAACATCGACTCAGCATCGTGAAGTCGTACAACCCCCTGACGTTGCGTAGATGCAGAGTTGCAAGCAGGCACGCTCTAATAATTATTGGTTTGACTCCGACAATGAGAAAATTAATGACGTTCTGTGTTCGAGCAAGAGTATTAGTAACAACTGCTGTCCACTCTGGAATTCCCTACCATGCATACATGTACACTGTTCGATCATTTCACGGATTTCTTTGTCAGAATAAGCGGAATCCCATTCCCAGGCGAAGGCGGAATGTCTAATTCCCAGGGCAAAATTTACTCAATTGCTGTACGCTTTCTTGACCCCATGCTTGTCTGCGGCGTGTATGCTACAGCATGATTTGCACCAGGGTGTTATAATTATACACATGCAACTCCCTGATCTTCACAAAGAGTTGCAAACAGTTTCTCTGTACTGGATACCACTACAAGTCTATGTCCAGGGAGTCGTCAAATGCGTTATTTGCAGACTCCCCGACTACCAGTATGTCTATGGTGGCTCAGCCATATACATACCGTACTTCCGCACATATAAGCGCATGTGCTTATGTCCGGATATAAGCGCACCCCTCAATTATAAGCGCATGTGCTTAGATGTGAACACTATTGGTGAAAAGGCGGGAGCAAAATACCGTAGAATCCCGCGTATAAGCCCATGCCCGCGCATAAGCCCAGGGAAAGTTCGAACATCACAAGGCTTCGTCGTACAAGCCCATGGGCCTAAATTGTACCGTGAGTCCATAAATTATGGACTCTTGGTCGTAATATGTACATGTACATGTATGATGATTGTACATGTACGTAGTACGAGTGTTTAGGGTTTTTTTTTGTTTTTTTGTACATTTCAACACAATCATCGGTTGTTTTTGTTTGCACAGTGGCTTTCAGCAATGTACTTCTCACTTCATTGGCACTTTTCAATAGCAAAATGTTGGTGTCGGCGTATAAGCCCATGCCCACGTATAAGCCCATGTTCTTATATGCCCACCGAAATGTCCTTGTGAAACAGATAAGCCCATGGGCTTATCCGCGGGATTCTACGGTATACCACTAAGTAGTGTGATGACACCATTGTTTAGGACACAGACAAACCTGTATTGCGCATATAAGTGCATGGGCTTCTGCTCGAACATGTTTACACAGCCAAAGATCTTTTTGCAGCAAATTTTCGCTTATAAGCACATGCGCTTATATGTGGGGAAGTACGGTATACATGTAGATTTCTAAATGAAAAAATATGAATAGCCCGTAGGCTAAAGGCTGATTCGCAATACAACTTTTTGCAACGCGACATGCGATTTGTAACAAGAAAGTGCCTGTCACGAGCTGTTGCATACAGTCGTAAGGTACTCTTATAGGCGATTCAGACTACGGCCAAATGTGACCACGTTTCTACGACTCAGATAGATTTGATCAGGGATTGTGCACAAAATTTTGAAACACGACTGCATCACCACGTTTACGTGATTTTGGCCGTAGTCTGAATCGCCTATTACCTGTCGCAGAAGTTTAAGAAAGTTCAACTTCCGTGACATGCAGACCGCGGCGTACATAAATGGAGCACAGTTTCTACCCTGGGTACACGGCTGCACGTGCATAGTACTACTAGTGCATAGGGATTCCACAAGCACCAGTGGTCACTGTGTGCTGCTTTGCATATTGTTTCACCGACTATTAGTTATAGGTTCTGCTATACATGAAACGTAGAGATGAAGTGTCCGGGTAAAGCTGTGTTCACAACTGGCGTATGTACGCGTGAAACCACGCGTTTGTGCGTCTTTTGCTGGCTTTTGGGGCGTCATGCGTACGGAAGCGCGCCGAATTGGAAATTCCAACCGGTTGTATTTTACAGAGCGTACCGGCATGCGTGCCAGTCACTTTGACTGGCGCGTGGCGGGGTCAAAACATTACCGTAAAAGTCCGTAAATAAGCACATACTTAAACTAAGGGTGCGTTCTTATACTAGTATTGTGTAGCTTTTCATAGAAGAAGAAAACAGAAGTCGAAGAAGCTGGTATAATCTAAGAACGGGTCTCGAAGAATTCGGATGTATTTTGCACATGCCAAGCAATATGAAGTGCCAAAGGGGCCGTGATCTTGAGTGCCACGAATGTTGTATGCACTGTGCGTTTGCGAAAAGGGAAATGCGTACACTCCTGAGCAACACTTGGCTTTTAGCCTAGTTCGCATGCGCTGATCTCAAACCGCGGGAATCTCCAAGTTTCAACCACCTCTGAAGCTTGGAGAGCTTTGGAGAGCCTCCTAAAATTCGGAGAGGCTATAAGAACAGCTCTCGAACTTTTCGGAGAGTCTCCAACTTTTCTGAGAGGATTTAAAAGAATGCACCTTAACTTTCGGACCTGACTTGTGTGTAGTGGAAGGTCATTTTCATGTACATGCTAAGCGCTGCATCTGTGAACCAGACCGCAAATTATTTCGGGCAGTATGTCTATTGGGCTGAACTGGACTTCAATAGACAGAGTCAAAGGTAGGCTTTCCCCAAATCGGCCGGCCGAAAAATTCGCCGAAAACGAGACTTGTAGAAAAATCGCTAAGCTTTTCGCCGATTTTGGAGGGTTCCTTTGAGAATCGCCAAAAATCTACCAAATGTTGCAAAGTGTGTTTACGAGCGAATGATGTTGCTGCAAGCATCACTGCTCGAGCTCTCTACTTCAGACTTGTACTTGTGCGTTGAGGTCGTGTCACTCGTGTCCTTTGACCCCCTCTCAAACAAACATCAGCCATTAGGAAGTCGTTACTAGTAACATACTACACTACAACGTACAGTTGTGGCCAAATCCATCTGGCAGAGCTGTATTTCCAATATCTCACCAGTTTTGAAGCCAATATGCCAACAATTCTTTTAGCCGATTTTCCGATATATTCCAATTTTGCAGCCGATTTCCGAACAATCAGCTGATTTTGCAGCCGAATCTGATGTATTTTTGAGCTTAGCGAAAAGCCGAATACTGTAGAACGGGTAATTTTAGCGAAGTAAAAACCCTAGCGAATCTAGCGATCGACTCATTTTCGCTAAGTTTCAAGTTTCTAATCCATTGAGACATTAGTAGTGCACTGGTGATCTGTGAGTAAAATCGCTGCAAATCGCTAAAATAAAACGTCGCTAACTGGTTGACAATGGGAAAACGCTAAAATTAACAGTCGCTAAAATTACCAGTTCTACAGTAGGCGAAAAACTTTGGGGAAAGCGTAGTCAAAG